TGGTGGAAGAAGACATTGTTAAAATGAAGGTTGTAGAAGAAGAAAGGAAAATCAGAGTTTCTTTATGAGAGAATTACAAGGGGAATACTAGAAAGCGTAAAAGGTGATTTTGGGAAGATGGTGCCACTTATAGAAGAAGGTAAGAGAATGTGGGAATGGAAAAAGATTAGTTGGCGTTTAACATGGCTATAGTGGGACACGTGTTGTACCGGAAAAGGTTTGGGGGAATGTGAATAGTTAAGCCTAAAACTCACCTTTTCTTAGGCCATGATTTCCTAAAATCTAGGAGCATGATCGCAGCTAGTGGCATGCGTGAGGGAGACGTGTTGACACTGCTGTAATAAATGCTAATGATGTCATTCAGTATGGGGAATAGTGAGGATGTGACTCCAAAGACATGCGAAGGTCATGAGAGGTGTCGAAGCAGAGTATCAAAAAATGTCATTTTCTCCAGGGGTCGAAAGTGACATTTTTGAGGGGCAATTTGTTAGCCTTGAATTTTGAAGTCCAGGTGGAAATGTTAGGGTTTTGAGTTAAGGCAGCATTTTCGACTATGGTTATGTTGCGAGGATTTCGACTAGAAAACAGACGATTCGACAGACAAGAACCTTTGAAGTTTGAATTCGAATTCTAGAGGGAAATGCAATTATTTTCCGCCATTAGAAGGAGGCACATAGCAATGTTTCAAGTAATCAAATCATGCATAGTGACATTTGTTTTAATCTAGTCCATTAAGTCATGAGGAGCGACTATTTTAACTGGTTATAAATAGTGGCTCAATTCAGTATTTTGGGTGTTTCATTTTGTACAAGTCACTCAGAAAATTACTCAATGTATCCAAGTCAAAGTGAGAAAAGAGTCATAACTGAGAATGTACGTGTCGAAAGACCATCTTTTATTTTAATGCATTAAAGCTTTTCCTTTTCTTTTACAAGAATCTTCCTTTACTTTACTGCTTTTACGCGAGTTATATTTTCTAGTCTTTACGCTTTGCTTCGAATTGCTATCTTCTCCGCCCCAAATTGCTTTCTTAGTTCTACTTGCTTTATTGCCAATTTTTTTAAATATTATTTTCAATACTATCAAAGTATTTATCCTTCTCTTTTAGATTTAATTTGATTTTACTCATATTAGCTATGTCCTAGGATTTAGTGTGGTCGATCCTGCAAATTAAAATGAGTCTTTAAGATTTGTTAGACCAACGGTTGTTCTCCAAATTTCACGGCGAACAACGGTCATCCTTTCTTCTTTCTTCTCCCCGACGAGTTGATGAGGAGTCTTCGTGTTTTAAGGACATGGCGTTTTCTTGGTGCCTTGAGTCCCGAGCAGTATTTGTCGCTTCTTTTTCTTCATACTGGATATATGCCCGAGCCTTGAGGAGGAGAGCGTTCAGTGTTGCGGGGGTCTCGATGCCAACCACTTAGGCAAAGTCATTGCGGGGACGAAGCCCTCGCTCGAGCAAATATTTCTTCATGCCGTCATTCATGAAGACCTGAACGACTTCTTTATTGAATCTTTTTATGTATGCCCGAAGAGATTCGTCCTTTCCTTGAATGATAGCCTCGAGGGAGGCTTCTGTCTTTGAATGACGGCGGGAGGCTGTAAAATGTCTTGAGAACATCCTCCACAACTGCCTCAATGAGGTGATGGATTCGTAGGGGAGGCTCCTGTACCAGGACATCGCTCCCTTCCTCAGTATCGTCGGGAACAACTTACATTTGATGGCGACTCTGACTCCACGATAGTCAATAGGGCATCGATGTTTTCGATGTGTTCGTCGGGATCGGTCGTGCCATCATATGTGCCCAGGGGTAGGGGTTTCTCCAGTCTTTTGGGTAATCGAGTGGCCATGATCTCTTGGGATAACGGGCCTCGAGGCTCGTCGTCTTCATTGTAGCTGCCCGACTACAAACGAGAGCAGGTGTTTCTGCCAGGGTGAGGATCGCGATCTCAACGGGGAGAAGGAGTTTGTGACCGACCCTTAGGTCTGAGTGGAGGTGAACGTTGGTTTTCTGCCCACAAATCTCTTCTTGTTCTTTTGGCCCCTGAGGGGTGCTGGCTCCGGGGAGGAGTATGATCGTGTTTCCTCATTGATAGGGATTCAGGATCCGTTGGCATTCAACGATTCTTTCCGCGTCGGGGAGAATGACTTCGAGATCTTTGATGCTCGCGCCTCGGTGGAGGAGATCTTGGACGATAGATCTCTTCCAATGCTCTAATTCTTGCATTATGCTGGAGGATCGGAAGGTTTATCTTATTGAATGTTTCGACTAGAGCTGCCATGGTCGGGTTGGCATTGGGCGGAACTGAGATAGGTTGATGGTCCTCTGAGTACTAGATCTATACGTTGTTGGCGCGATCCGGGGAGGGAGACGTGGTGACTCTGTCCATCTACTGAGGAACGTTGTCTCTAAGAAAGGAGTTTTCCCCATCGTTGTCTATCTTGCTGGCGGAGGGATGACGGTGTTGCGCGCATCGTTGGCGTTATCATGGCTGACCATGATCAAAATCTTGAAAAATTGCTTTGATCTTTGGTTTCCGGGGAAAGAAAGACAGGGGGAACAAAACTTTCCACAAACGGCGCCACTGATCTTTCCGGTTGATCAGAACTTGGAGTGGGTCAGAGACTTCGTCTTTGATGCTGGAATCCAAGGAGGAGGGGTGTGTACCTGTAAGACACTCTGATGTCAAAGTAAGAATCGGGAGAGGAGAAGGCAAATACAAACTAAGAATGTCTAAAGGTGATTTTGAAATACCTGACCCTCTTAAAGGAGGGGGTATTTATAATGCCCTCAGCGCTTGGCCATTGGTCCCTATTTTCGTGCCTAGATATTCGCTCCCCAAAAATAGGTAACTGTCAAAAACTATCCGTTGTGACAGGCAGACATGCTCGGAACTAACTGTTGCTTCTTATAGGGGCGTGGTTGAGAGCAAGCGCGTCATGGCCGTTCCTGGATGGTTGAACCATGCGTGACGGATAGAGATGTGACGAAGGGTAACTGATCCTAAGGGTCAGCTGGTCAGCCCTCCTCGGTTGAGGGTAGAAGAAAAAGTGCTTTTCTTTGCCCTCAATAGGTAGGGCTTAGACTATTAGATCGTTTTGGGTGAAGAAGTATATTGGGTCTTGCCTAATCATTGGGCTAGTCCGGAACACACACACACACACACACACACACACACACACATATTGCTAAGAGTCCCACATCGGACAATATATGACATGAACATGTGTTTATAAGTGAGATAATCCTCACTCTACCAACCGGTTTTGTGGGGTTGAGTTAGGCTCAACCGCATTTCTTAACATGGTATCAAGAGTCTCGTTTAAGATCCAGTGGGTCACCTTCTATGGTTTCCGCTATCGGGCCACCCACCATTTATATCCACGCTTCAGTTGTCTAGTCCTGAGCGTGAGGATGTGTGTTAAGAGTCCCACATCGGACAACATATGACATGAACATGTGTTTATAAGTGGGGTAATCCTCACTCTACCAACCGGTTTTGTAGGCTTGAGTTAGGCCTAACCACATTTTTTAATATATATATATATATATATATATATATATATATATATATATATATATATATATATATATATATATATATATATATATATATATATATATATATATATATATATATATATATATATATATATATATATATATATATATATATATATATATATATATATATATATATATATAATTTTAAAATATTATGTTTTATATTAATACATTAATTGTGAGTTTAATTCAAATTACTAGGTAATATGTGATATAACTTTTGTCATAGTTGAGTTAATAGTATTTTAGTTTATTTAAGTTTTATTATGTATTTTCTTTTATAATTTTTATTTTCATAAATTATATTTTATTCAAATTATAGAAATTCTCAAATCTTCTTATTTGATATTTTATAATCTTTAACTGTTGTGGATATGCATTATGCAGTGCTTTTTCTATTGTTAAAAATGGTGACTATGCATTAGACAGTGTCTTGGATACGCAATGAAGTTAAATAACGTGTACCCATAATCTATCGAGGTAGATATGTTACTATTATATGTAGTATATCTTTCCAAATTCTAACCACAGAAATAAAATCCGTGTATTTATATAAAAAAGAAAGTAACAAAGCCCGTGAACACGAATTCCTCCTTTTTGGTTCAACAATGACCGTTCCTTTTTTAACAAAAACTTAACAGCTAAACAAGCAAAAGTAGAAGAAAAAAATAGACTCGTTTGGTTGGCAGGTATAGACGAAGAAACAAGTAGGTACAAAATTAAAATCTTTGTCCATTAATAAGGGTAAGCAAGGATTGTCTAATGTCCACTACAATACATACCCGTGAGTCACCTTGCGTAATTTACAATATCTTTTTCCGCACCTTCATCTTATCTCTTTCTCTTTAACACCGTACACACTAAACATGCACCAATTATAAAGCTTATAATAAAATATCTACAAAGAGACACAGTTGAGAGTTTATTCATTCATGATATAGTAGGTAAAAGATTGGTGTATGAAATTACGTTTCGGGAACGTGATTTCGTGACGGAATGCCTGTTATATTAAACTGTAAATAACTGGTTTTTTTATCAGTTATATCAGAAAAAAAGGAAATAAAGGACAAGAAAAAGATGTCACGCACTTGCAACGGATATATACTCGACCACATGTGAATGTAGTGAAGCAATCAATCATATATTGCCATTCTTGCTTTTGCTTCCACTACTATCACACACTCTCTCTCTGTCTTTCTTTATAGTTTTTGTCACAATGCAATAATTCTTATAAACAGACAACCACTCACCGCTAATATCTTAGCTTTTTTCACACTTTGGTGGGAACAAAAGCTACAAAATCTATGCATTAAAAACTGCATTCATAAAGTAGTCTTTTTTATCCTTAATATCTATAACAGCTATCCTTTCCTTTCCCCACTCTTACCGAATCTCATTCCAAGATCTTGAGGGTGAGAAAAAAAATATCCAACCATGGAGTTCTCGTTTCAGAAGTCTTTCTCTGTGGTTCTCTTAGTTCTGTTAATGGGTTTCAGCGACGCGTCTTCTTCCTTGAAGAGCACTTACATAGTGCACATGGCGAAATCTGAAATGCCTGAGAGTTATGAGCATCATACTGTATGGTATGAATCGTCGTTACAATCTGTTTCTGAGTCAGCTGAAATGATGTATACATACGAAAACGCGATCCATGGATTCTCAACCAGATTAACTGCTGAAGAAGCTGGTTTGCTCGAGAGCCAAACGGGGATTCTAGCGGTGTTGCCGGAAGTGAAATACGAGCTTCACACGACAAGGACTCCTCAGTTTCTTGGCCTTGATAAAAGCGCAGAGATGTTCCCGGAATCAAGCTCAGCAAGCGAGGTTGTTGTGGGTGTTTTAGATACCGGTGTTTGGCCAGAAAGCAAAAGCTTTGACGACACTGGATTCGGACCTGTACCCACAACATGGAAAGGCGCGTGTGAAACAGGAACGAATTTCACAGCTTCTAACTGCAACAAAAAATTGATCGGAGCAAGGTATTTTTCCAAGGGAGTTGAAGCCATGTTAGGTCCTATTGATGAAACCACAGAGTCGAAATCTGCTAGAGACGACGACGGGCATGGTACTCATACTTCAACTACAGCAGCAGGTTCGGTTGTTACCGGTGCAAGCCTCTTCGGTTATGCTTCAGGGACGGCGCGTGGGATGGCCACACGCGCTAGAGTTGCCGCATACAAGGTTTGTTGGAAAGGAGGTTGTTTTAGCTCCGACATATTAGCTGCTATTGATAAAGCTATTTCGGACGGTGTTAATGTTCTGTCTCTTTCTCTCGGTGGTGGAATGTCTGATTATTATAGAGACAGTGTAGCTATAGGTTCTTTTGCGGCGATGGAGAAAGGGATTCTAATTTCTTGCTCAGCTGGGAATGCGGGTCCAAGTGCTTATTCTCTATCTAATGTAGCTCCATGGATCACTACCGTGGGTGCTGGTACACTGGATCGTGACTTCCCTGCGATCGTTAGTCTTGGTAACGGACTTAACTATTCCGGAGTTTCTCTTTATCGAGGAAACGCTTTGCCGGATTCTCCGTTACCCTTGATTTACGCAGGGAATGCTACTAACGCTACGAACGGGAATTTGTGTATGACGGGAACTTTATCGCCGGAGTTGGTTGCTGGGAAGATTGTTTTCTGTGACCGTGGGATGAATGCTAGGGTTCAGAAAGGAGCTGTGGTGAAAGCCGCCGGAGGATTGGGTATGGTGCTGGCCAACACTGCCGCAAACGGCGAGGAGCTTGTCGCTGACACACATCTATTACCAGCCACGGCGGTTGGCGAGAAAGCCGGCAATGCAATCAAGAAATATCTATTTTCCGAAGCGAAACCGACGGTGAAGATTGTTTTTGAAGGAACAAAAGTTGGTGTTCAGCCATCTCCGGTGGTGGCAGCGTTCAGTTCACGAGGACCAAACACAATCACACCACAGATCTTGAAACCTGATCTTATCGCGCCAGGTGTCAATATCTTAGCGGGGTGGTCCAAAGCAGTGGGACCCACCGGTTTGCCTGTTGATGAGAGGCGCGTTGATTTTAACATTATCTCTGGTACTTCCATGTCCTGTCCCCACGTGAGTGGTTTAGCTGCCTTGATTAAGTCGGCTCATCCTGAGTGGAGCCCAGCCGCTGTTAGATCGGCTCTCATGACAACGGCTTATACAGCTTACAAGGACGGTAAAAATTTACAAGACAGTGCTACTGGAAAGCCCTCCACACCGTTCGATCATGGATCCGGACACGTGGACCCTACCGCTGCACATGAACCCGGACTTGTTTATGATTTAACGGTGGATGATTACTTAGGTTTCCTCTGTGCATTAAACTACACATCAACTCAAATCACTGCTATAGCAAAGAGAAAATTCGAGTGTGACGCGGGTAAAAAATACAGTGTGAATGATCTTAATTATCCATCATTTGCGGTTGTTTTCGACACCATGGGTGGGGCCAACGTGATTAAACACACGAGAATCCTCACTAACGTGGGACCCGCGGGAAGTTACAAGGCTTCAGTAACGTCTGATTCAAAATCCGTGAAAATCACGGTTGAACCGGAGGAGTTAATTTTTAAGGAAAATGAGAAGAAACCTTATACGGTGACGTTTACGTCATTGGGTTCTACACCGCAGAAGGTAAACGGATTTGGACGGTTGGAATGGAGGAATGCGAAGAACGTGGTTGGAAGCCCAATCTCGATTAGTTGGGGTTGATTTGACGAGGATAAAACAATAAAGGTTTTTTTAGTAGTAGGTTGATTAAAGGTTCATCACTCACTCGAAGAGGGGTGTGTCTTTATTGGCTATTTAATATGTATTTTTAATTTTATTAAATATATATTTGAATTTGCAAACAAAAATGTTGTGTTTATTTAGCTGGAGACTAATGATAGTAACAGATACTGGACCATGTGGGTTTGGTTTGGTTTGGTGGGTGGATGGATCTGTTTGTTCCCGGGTGAAACAGTGAGGGAAAAAGAAGTTTTCCTTTTTTTTTTTTTTTTTTTAATTTCTTCCGGTGTACATTATTCTAATCTTTGAACAATATATGACCGTTCTTGCTATTGGCTAGGTTTTTACTGTTTTGTTTGCATGTTCATTAAACGATAAAATATATTCAAGGAACAGTACATGTTTTCCATGGATGAACTTTATTACTCACTTTAATCTTTAATGATGAACTTTATGAGACCTACTGTGAATTAAACCGTACAGTAATATTTTATTATAAATTAAATTTTTTAAGTAACTCCTAAATTTCAGGATCTTCTCATCTTCCATTTGATTCCCTCAACTTAATTTCAATGATTTACACTTCATTATTATTATTTTTTTTATTATTTTGTATTTCAAACTCAAGATATTTAAAATCGGATGACTTGTAATTTATATTGGTATCTAATTTTTATCTCTAGGTTAAAAAAAAATTTCTTTTACTAAACTTACCTTCAATACACTTCGTTTTACTTCTTCTTAGCCAAAATTCACATATTTTTAATACTCGTATTCAAATATCCAACATACATCTTAGTATCAGCTCTTCAATGTATTCTACATCTAAAATTAGAGTAAAAAGGTAAGAGTTTAAAGTTGATTACTGATGCAATTCTATTGTAATGGGAAAGTTGTTCTTCTTTCCACCTTGTATCTGGACACTAGTTGATATCCCTCATACATATCTTACATATCTTAGATAACTCGTACATAGACAATCCTAACCTCTTTCTTCTCTAGAGATTTTCAAAAAATCTCTCTATACATTTTATCATACATACGCCTTCTCGAAGTCAATGGAAATTAAGTGTAAGTCTTGTTATCTAATATCGCCCTATCATATGTCGTAGTAGATAGATTGCTCTATATCAACCTCTCAAGCATACAACATAATTGATTATCAATAACTTGAGTCTCTTTTTTTAGTCTCTGTTCAATCATTCTTTCCTATAACTTCATGGCATGACTCACAAGTTTAATTTCCTTAAAAGTTGCACAATTTTGTATCTCTACATTGTTCTTATAGATTGGAACTAAAATGATAAAATCGCTACAACTCTGGAGCGAAAGAAGAACCCGTTGTCTGACAGCATCATTGAATTGGACAAGGGTAACATGATATATGTCTTGTGTTCAATATAGACACGGGGGCAAAAAGGTAATTGAAAATATAATCATCATCACATACACGTTTTGTCAAATTACATGACATTTTTGTCACTTAGGTAATACTAATGTGTTTCTAGATACCATTTAATATTTATTATATTAAAGATGTGATTTAATATAATTTTTAACATTACGAGAACCTACAGAATCACACACATGAGTACAAATTGATGAGTTTAAATAACTAAGTGAAACTTATTCGGTGGTATGGTGTTGCAATCTACTAACGTTAGTTAGAGAAACATGATACACCATAAAGTATGATGCATTTAAGTGAAACAAGGTACACTGTAAATTATGATGTGCTGAAGTGTGCTTGTTCAACTTGCAATCCGTATAAATGGTTCTATAAATAGAACTTAACCATGAAGAGAAAAAGTTATTGACCAAATTTATTTTAGAAATTCTAGTTTTCTAAAACCTAAAACTGCACCATCTCTCTGTAATCCTTCATTTGAATAAACTAGCACTATGAGCGAAAATATCATGTTTGTGTGGAATGAGTATAAGTGTTGTCGTTTGTTCAGTGTTTGTGATCAATCTCTGAAATTGACTTCAAAGGTTCATCACTATGAGAGGCAATTGTTTGATATCTAATCATGACTATTCGTAAGGATCCACCAAAGAGATTTTGTATTTATATGTTGCATTTTACTCGTAATTTTCCTTCAGTCAAATCTTCAATAGTTGTTGGAAAGGTTGAAACTTTTTTTGCAAGAGGACTATGTGATGAGAGATATGCTCTGAAGAAATGGTTGAAAACCTCCAACGCATATACAATAGAGGTACTTGAAAGGGAGAAGAAGTTGAAGGAAGAACTTGACGCTATTAGAAAATTCAACCAAGAGTATTCTGATAGGCTTGTCAAACATTATTAGAATGTTAACAAGTTTGGAACCCTTATGAGTTAAGGACGAAGGTGGTCAACCTTAAAGATGTTGTGAGTAAATAATTTAAGTCTAACCCTAAAGGATGACACATTGAGATTTACACTATCAACTTTGAACTTTTATAGCAGGTTCAACCCATAACTTGTTACACAATTATTTTTATCTCATATTCAACTTGCAACCTTAGTATTATATGAGTTCAAGAAAACAACTCTCTTATGATTTTACAATTACAAATAAGAGTTAACAATAATATTTTACTAAAGTTGCTACTTAAGCGATTACTCTCTTGTCATTAAAATTATATATTAAAATTTTAGGAGCAACGTGAGGGTAGAGGAGAATAAAATATTCAGAAAATGCGTGTGTTTTGAAATGAACACAAGATCTCTTTTTATAGTAAAAAATTAAAAAAAAAATTGGAAACTTTGAAAAAGGTCAATCTGGTCCATAAATGATTATGTAACGGCCATAATCGATTACACACTTTCAAATAAAGAAAGATTTGTAGCATCTGAATCATAATCGATTACTATATCTTCATAATTAATTACTATAAGAATTACAACTCATAATTAATTACATAACTATCATTATTAATTATAGGCCGAAATTTACTTCATAATAAGTTTTAAATACTTCTTAGTCGATTATGCTTTGTTTTAAAAGAAGTTTGTATATTTCCAAAGGTTTCTTCCGAAGAAGATGAAATGAGATGAAGATTTCGAAAATCATTTTATAATTGTGCAATATGGTTTTAGTATTTGGCAAGTAACATACTTAATTTACATAATTGATCATATAAAGATATAAAATTTGAGCTCCACATTAGATGACAAGCTTTTAATACTTAGATCCGTTTCTTGATCTTTGTTCATTTATATTTGATCTTGTAAGTCAATCATCATAAGTTTCTTGTTTTTTGTTTTAATTCTATCTTTTTTTTTCCTTATTTGACAATGTTTGTGATATCTTACTTTATTCCTCTTGGACATCATTAATTTATGTTAAACACATAACCACACTCGATATGCTCCGTACACGTCTATTATGACTCTTTTATAGAATGTTTTTTCTCGTCGAGGTATTTCATACTCCAAAACAAATCATATTTCTATAAACTAACTTCTTTATCCACACTCGTTTACAAAAGTGTGATGTATATTTTTTTTCCACTACTTTCAATCGACGATATAGTGACTCTTGCTCATTTGATATTAATGTACATAAGTCATACAACGCGTTGTTTCTAAATAACGACCTAACATTCGTATTATTACGCATTTGTGGTGTAAAATAATCATCTCAGTATATCGGAATTTTGGATAGACAATGCATAAAAAAAATTAAAATAGAAAAAATCTATCTTCACAATACTACTAATATGAAGAAGAAGAAGAAAGTAAAATGTAGGTGTGAATTCAATTGGAATACAACACCCTTTAAATGAATTAGACTGTTTGTGTTGTGTTATTTGCCGGTGTTGCACCAATATGAGGTTCTGTTCTTGTATCCACCATCCGGTATTAATGCCCAATATGGGCGATGAATTGTAGATTAAATATATGTTAAGTTTCAATTTTTATAGGCAAGCATTGATTGCTGACGTATGGCAAGAATAATTTGTTAATAGAACTTGGACCTACTTTTTAATGGGGCTGAATCTTCTCCCTTAAGGTTTTCACTGGAATCACTCCAAGTGCTAGTCTCATCCATTCAATTTTCAATTGCATGATTTAATTAATACTCTTTATTTTTCTATAAGTCACAGGAATCACTCCAAGTGCTAGTCTCATCGCATAATTTAATTAATACTTTTTTTATTTTTCTATAAGTCAGTTTTGAAGAAAAAATATATTAAAATATAAGTTATTTTATAATAGCAAAAAGAATTATAAATTTTTTAATTATATTTTTATCTTACCGGATTAGAAAGAGATCAACCGCCAACAACGCGTCAGTGAATTTCTAATTCGTCGTTGGTAGTGAAGAGGAGGGGAGTGACCTGCAAGATACTCCGATGATAAAGTAAGAAACGGAATAAAAAGAGAGAGCAAGTACACAAAGTGTAGAGAATAGAATACTTGATCCTCTAGTGAAATAAAGTATTTATAATGTGCCCCAAGTGCTGAGCCAACGGTTATTTGAACTGGGTTGGATCATTAGGCTCAATACGAATAACTGCCAAGATCTATGTGGCGTAGGGAAGACCAGCACATGGTTTTCATCCTGACCCAACTGCCCTGTGAACTTCGGGAGGTGGAGGACTTGTTCTCTCGGACGCAAGTAGTTGGCTGATGACGGGTCCCCGCGTGGGGAACACGTGGAAACCGTAGGAAGACGCGTGAGCGCTCCTTGTGTGGGTTGAGGGATTGGGCCTTATTGGGCCCTCCTCGACGAGGAGTTGGGTTGGGCAGTGCCCGACGGTGGGCCAACCTATGGCCCATTCTAGAACAGGAGCCTCCCAAGTCGTTGCTCTGAAGCGTAGGAGTAATGACTTAAGAGTCAACTCTCATGTCGAGGATGGGCTATTCAGCGTGTTGCTCGTGCTCGAGACTTGGAGCTTGCGGGGCTATCTGAGACCAGGCGCAGAAGCCATTAATCATGCTCGATAGTGAGGCATTTATCTCGAGGGCATGTGCTTGTCACACACATAACTTG